ATACTTAAAAAGTGCATGGCTGCATTAACCATCTTCTGCTGGGAAAACTTTATCCCTCATTTTTCTGCCAAAGAAATGAGAAGAGGTGTCTAAGGGAACATAATGGTACTGTCACCCTTCTTTCTGCTCTAGGCAGCCATTGCTCTCTGCCAAAGGTTCAGTCATTGCTGTCTGCCAGAGGTTCAGTCTACCCTGCTAGTGACAAACTTGGGAAAGGAACACATATTGTATGAATCACAGAAGGCTGCAGTTTTACTCCAAGATACAGGGTCAGGATATTAGTGCATGAATATGTCCTACAGATACCCATTTGACATGCTTCTTAGCACAGTTGTGTTGTGTATTGATTAGTTGTCTCCCAGGCATGGTCTGGGCACAGTTCAAGAGAAGAACATGTACCATGACCAGAAGCAGTTTGGATATCTCCATTGTTTTTGGGAAAGGGATTTAACTTTGGGGACAGGGGGTGTTCTGTTCCACTTGGCCTCAGAGCCAAAGATTCGCTTGCCTGAATTATTTAGTAACACAGAGGAAGCCAAATTGAACTATGACAAATAAGCCAATAACTGGGTCTGAGGGCTCATCCTGAGGAACACCTTATGGGGGAGGGAATTTTTGCATTAATTGCAGAGATGCCACCCATCTGCAAATCTTATTTTGTTTTCTCTTTTAAAAGCAGTCATGTTTTAAAGGATTTGTTTGCAAGCAAATCAATCCAATTTTCCTTGTTGTGGTTGATGGCATGTCTGTGACTGTGGGAACTCAGCAGCACTTGCAGGTACACTGCAAGAGATTACCATGCTGCAAGTAGTGCTCATGGAGCATTGCTGTACCAGAAATGGTTGATTACACAGGAGAAAGAAGCACAGAGCTGTTGTTCAGTATTTAGATTATGCTAGATGGAACATGATCCTGATTTCCTTTGACTTAAAGACAACCTCCTTTGTTGCCCAAAAACCAAAGTACCGCCCCTGAAAATATTACGGCTGCCTCCTCTGGTAATTTTTTTGGTGATTTTTATAAGCTCAAGATTTTTTAGATACATCTAGTACTTTGTCCATTTGGAAAAAGATGACACTTCATCTTTCACTGAGATACTTCAGGCTCATTCTCATACCAAATCCATTTTCATTCTTGCTGTATGAATCTGTAACACAGGTTATGCAATTAGAAATAAAGTGTTTGCAGAAAAAATAAAGAAAACCTGATAAATGAAATCTGCTATACACTGTCAGTCATGCTGATGGTATTCTAATAAACACAAACATATTTTTGTGTGTCCAGTTTTAAAGATGCAGAGTAAAATAATTTATGGGCAAAGCTAGTTTTCCATCCTTGCAGCATTTATATATATATATAAAATACTGTGCACACCAAAATTATGTTAAAGGAGCATTACTGTCATAGAGTGCTAAAAAGGCAATGCTATAGTTAGTGTTGTAGTTATAATATTATAGTTAACGGGCTTTTTGTTCAGCAACTGGGTCCCTCTGTGAATGTGCTGTATACAGTCTTTATGCAATTAGGAGCATTTTAGGGTGAATGTTTGGTTTTAGGAAGGGAATTTGCTTTCAAGACAAATGCAGTGAGATTTATATCACATCTGTTATTATCTAAGTGGAGCTTTGTCTTGCAAAGAAGATTTGTCTTATAGAGTGCACAGTTTGGGCAGCCTTCAATTTAGGACTGGATGCAAAATACTTTTCCAAGTGTTGCCCTGTAATTTTTTCTGTTTTTCTTTTTTCTTTTTTTTTTTTTCCCTGTATGCTATTTAAACCTTGCTTGGAAGGCAAAATTGGTCATTTCCTTGTGGGAATTTTTATTCTGCTCTTTCATTGTATTTCAGCTATTTCATTCTGAGTGCCTCAGAAATGTTAATGTATCGTTAGCATTTCTGAGGAGGTGATGTGATATATCCACTTTATAAAGCAGAAGTGAAAGCTGGTGGTTGAAACACAGGTCTGAGAGTGTTTGCTAATTAGGGGGCTGCACTCAATGACCTGATTTCTTGGACTAATGCATTTCGCAGGATCAAGGCACTTTCCCCGCTGTTGATTTCAGTGAGCACACAGGAGCACTGCAATCTGGGTGTCAGGGTTTGAAATGAAGGAATTAAGGAATACTCATTCAGTGACCAGCTGAGTCAAGATCTAGTGTAAATGGCTGCCCTAGCAGCACAGAAGAACTGTGAAGCAGAGGGTAGCATACAGGATTTTCTGACAGGATGATGCTTCTGCTGGGAAGCATCATCCAGCTGTCTAGAGGCTCTTTCTTTTGATTCTACTGAGCCTTTGAATATCTGTAACAAATGACACAGCGCTCCACTGAGTGATGGTCTTTCAAGCTGTACTTGTGATCTTCAGGAAAGATACCTACTGACAAGTTAGAAAACAGATTATTTATTTAAAGAGGCTATTCAGAGAAAACAGTCCGAGATGTTTCAACTCTGACAGCCTGTCTAAGGTTTTCCCTGTTATTGTACAAAATAGAATAATCTATACATACATTTTAAAAGTGTCCTTATTTTGTTGTACAGTAGTCATCTGATGACAGTACCTAAGTCAATCTCTTCCTTCAGTTTAATATGTACTTTTTTACTTGAAAGCTGATCATCTTTGCTCAAAACTGGTTTGTAGTGTTGTCCCAGTGACATTAGTTTACTACACTGGATGGTGTTGCTGAGAATGTAAAACTATCCCATTAGCCTATGTGTAATATAAAATAGGGTTTTGCATTTTACAAGCTTATGCAGTGTAGTAAGAGTTTGGCAAATGTAAAGGAAAAAGGTGTTAAGGAGAGCTGGCAACTCCTTAAAGAAACGATATTAAGTGCAATCTCTTCCAATAAGGAGGAAAGTTAAGGAAGTGTAGTGGAAGACCAGTGTAGCTAAATTGCCAGTTCTTCATGGCTCCTGAAGACAAGTTGTTTTTTTTACAGAGTGGAAAGTAGGTCAGATTTCCAATAAAAATTATAAAAAAATAGCGTGTAGTGGCAATAAAATCAGAAAGAGTGAGGCACAAAATTATATTAAAGTATCCAGGTGTGTAACAGGTTGTAAGAATTCATTTTTCATGTACTGTAGTAATGAAAAAAAGACTGAAAGGAAAGGTCAGAGGAAAAAGAAGTCAACAGATGGCATTGGGGTGGCCAAAGCATCATTGGTTTGTTTGAGTCTCTCCCAGTAAAATGGATACTGTTTCTACTGGTGACATGGGGAACTGTACTGCTGCTGCAGTATCCAGATCTCACATGCACAAATGAATGTCTCTGTACCTCCTGTAACCAGAGAAGTGTAGACCTGCCCACAGCACCAATCTATCTTAGGGTGGTTGTTCTGGAGGACATTGCTGTACAATGCCTAAAATGCATTTTGGAACAGTCCACTGTTCCAAAAGGAGGAGTACAAGGTGCCTTCTTTGCAAGAATTGTTCTGTAATTTTGTTAATGATTTAGATGATGGCGCTGAGAATGCTAACAATTTATGTTGAAAGCTGGTAAGGATGAAAGAGGCTATGAAAGAAAGGGTTAAAATTCGAGGTGGTGTTATTCATTTGAACAAATAATCTTAAAGGGAATGGTCATAGTTCAAAGGATCATGTTCTACTTATGACTCTGGGGAGTAACCAGCTTTAAGAATAAAAGATAGGGAATAACTTCCTGGGGGTGATTGTTCAGAAAGAAGTCTGGAAGTTGCAGGGAACCACAAACCAGTTCATGAGTGCAGTGCCATGCTGTTGTATGTAATATTCCAGGGTGAATAGAGAGTAATATAGCTTGCAGAATGTCTGGGTTTGGGGGAGGAAGGGAAATAAAATCCTTTTTTGCCTGGAGTACCGTGTTGGGTCACAGGGACTGTACCTTAAGAAAGCAGTAAATCAGGAAGACTATGCAGAGGAGCCCTACCAACACTGAGCAAAATAGTCCTAAATAGCATAACTGATAAATATGCATTGAGTGAAATGGTGTTATGTGGGGTAGATGGCTGCAATATGTTTAGTGGTTGTTATAGCATTCTGTATATATGGACTGCTGTGAAGATAGGGAGCATAAGCTGACTTCTATGCCTGGACAGCACAAAGACAAAAGTTCCAGCAAGAGAGAGATATTGTTCTACCATGGTAAAAGTAGTACAGCACTGGAAAAGTTTGAGTGGGGAGGTCATTGAACCTCTGTTATTGGAGGTCTTCAGGAACAATTAGGAAACATCTTCTGACATAGCATAAAATGTAATATTTTGTGCTGTGGGACTGGATATCTTCTGATTCTTCTTCCAGGCAGAAGTGTGTTTTCTGATGTGCTTTCTCTTTTGTCTTTGATATCCTTTCACTCCTTGGTGAATATCCCTGTTTTCTGGACAAGAATTTCTTAGATGGCAGGAAGATTTAGTAAATTCAGAGTAATCATTTTGGTATAGAACTTCATGGAGCAGTGCTTTAAGCTACTATATTTGACCAAATGCTGCAGCTATAACAGTCACGGGCCACAACTTCTTAGTGAGAGTGTTCCTTGTAAACAGAGTAAGGACTGGGTCTTGCTTTCTAATCAACATATTTTCTGAAGACTTTTAAAATGCATGTAACAGTCTGACATACCAGCTGTCACCAGAAATTGTGTCGTCCACCAACACTGGCATGTGGTGTGTTGGCACTTGTGTCACTGGGAGAGGGAGTGTTGACAAGTCCTCTTGCCCTAGAAAGATAGGAAAGAAGCCAGGGTTGAGTGAAGATGATCTCAGGAGAGCACCAGGAACATTGGAGCCGGAGCAGTCTGAGAAAGGAACTGGTCCAGGACTTTTAAAGCCCAAGAGAAAATGAGTGCAATAAACGAGAAATTTTCTCCAGACTCATCCACATTTAGCTTGGTGTTTGGGACTGATTTGAACCTCTCTTCATGGGACAGCAGTGCAATGCCATTCCTGAGCAATCTTCCCAAGTTCCAAAGTCTTGAGTAGCTGTAGTTGCATTTGTTTTAAAACTGAATTATGTTTTCTTTCAACCTAGAAACCAAACTTGGTATCCAAGCCAATGCTTGATAGCATCCTTTGTCTTCGTGATGACAGATGGAAGTATGTGCGGAGCCTCCTGACCCCAGCCTTCAGCGATACCAAACTGAAAGAGGTAAGGTGTAGACATTGCTGCTTTCATAATTTAGAAGATTTGTGCAGGCATCTGCTTTATGTAGGTCCATATTAAGGATAGGTAAAACCTGCTACTTTGTGCCACTTTATTTAGACCTGAAGAGCACATGCAGCAGAGCTTCCATATGGCACGGTTCAGATCATAGACTGGTGAAAATCCAAATAGCTCATCTGAGGATATGATTATCTGTCTTCCTCTGTTTAAGTCAGTTTGTCCATTAAAGTGTAGCATACTCAAGAAGGACCCTTACCCCTTCCTCTCCCCTGCCCTATTAGGAGTAAGTTTAAGTCCAGGAAAGGTTATTGATCCCAGTTGGAACATAGCTTTTCTTGATGTGCAGAGTCAGCAACTCTCATGTTAGCATAGGAACTGCTGTCAATCTATTTTCAATTCTCCATCTCCTTCCCCTTCCCTCCTCCTTTTATTCTTTAATCCTTTCATATAATAAAATAAGTCACTGGAGCAGAATGTCATTGCCAGATAAATACCTCTGACTGAAAATAAATGTCTCTGTGCTGACCTGCTGCTAATTTCCTATAAATGTATCAGCATTTGCTCAGCCATGGGAACCCATTACCCAGTAACAAAGTCCTGTTCCAGTGATACGATATCTCTTAATTAAATGTATATAAATGATTGACTGGTTAAAGTCTTCTTTAGGAGAACTACAAAAAACAACCCCACAACAACAACAACAAAAATCACCTCTTTCTTTTTATGTTTTATTCTGAAAGGGAATCATGCCTCACTCCGGTGCCCAGTCCTGGGCTGTAAAATTTTCCACTGGGCAGACGCTTGTGTTGTTTTGACATGCCGCTGTCGAAATCCACAGTAACATCTAAATGTGTCTGGCTCTCCCAGCTCTATAGACAGCGGTCGCCTAGCAACGCCGGCTGTCACCTCCTTATTATGGTAAATTCTAATTGGCCGCCAGCCTGGCGGAGATGCTGATTAATCACGACTGACAATGCCATTGGTTATGCGCCCTGACATTTGCTCTGTCACCAACTCCATCACGAAATTTCAGCAAGGCAAGGGTGCTTAAATATGCAAGTGATTAGTTGCACAAAGCACGGTGGGGAGAGGAGAGTTTTGCATTTTGCTGGTGGAAATTAATCTGCCTTACTGCAGGTCATTGGTTCTTTGCTTGTGGACTAACAAAAGATAACGCTGCACTCCCCTCAATTTGTGGAGAGCAACCTCTGCCAGCACCTGCCGGGCAGGCTTGGCTGAGGAGCACGGTGAGGGCAAGAGAGTGGAGCCTCAGGGATCCTGCTCTGGGGCTGGGCGTGCACGGCTTTGCAGGCTCTGGCTGATCCAACTGGGCTGGGAGGAGAAGATGTGGCACTCTGTTTGCACGGCTTGTTGGTGGAGGTGGACTGCAGGAATAATGGTAGGAGGTAGAATGGAGGGCTGGCCAGTGCCTGGTAGCTGTCTTGCGTGCAAAGACTGAGGCATTTATTTTTAGCCTGATAATCAGCTTTGCCCATGCTGCCTCTTCCAAGCTCTGTGGGGAGGCGTGTGACTGTGCATGGGCTTAGCGTGACCTGGAAATTGTCACTTTCTCCTCCCATTCAACAGCAAGTGGGAAAAAGATGAGTGGGGCAGGTCTCCCTGAAAGGTTCAACTTTGCTTTTCTCTCCCACACCTTCACCAGAAGTCTGTCCATCCCTACACAGACAGACACTTGCAGTAAGCCCATGTGAGATTAAGAACCACTGTTGAATGGATGTTCTCCTCAGCCTTACATTTCATTTTCTACCCAAATATGTTAGCAATCCTGGGATTTGAAGTTAATGTAACTTAAGTCCTTGCCCATGTGCTTTTCCTGCTGTTGCTTAATTTAGAAGCTATACCAACACTTCACAAAGGAAATCAATGCTCATTAATTATGATTTCACTTTTAAACTCTCCCATATTTGGTACTCTCTCAGAACCTCTACAGCAGCATGGAAACAAAAATACCATGTCCTTGTATTGGCCATACTACAGAGCATTATCTGCAAGACATCCTGTTTATAATAAACCCTTCCTCTCTGCTTTGAATTACAAACAGAAATTTGGTACTAATTTATTGTGTAAGAACCTAGATATGATATTTCATGTATATTTATAAATATTACTAGGACAGTCCTTATTTCTCCTTCCAAGATATCAATTTCTTTGACAAAATCCCACACCGAAGTCTTGCACTTTGTTCACTCTGGATGACTGCCTTAGCTTTGTTCCTCTATGCAGAGTCCACGGTGATGCTGGAGAGACTGCAGACCTCATGAGTGTCTTTGGAGGGTGGTTCCCTTTGAGTGCTGCAGCCCATAAGTGCCACTCCAAACACAGGCTTGTCTGGCTGCATGCTCTGAGAGAACTGGGAGCTGTTAGCCTGTGACAGAGCAATAAATGCTAAGAACTCATTGCAGCCCCCATAACAATCACTTTAGACAAAAGATGCGCCAAGAGACAGAGACTGCTGAGACACAGGTTCCTGATATCTCCGTTTCAGAAATCCAAGAAAGGACAGTTTCAGGGCTTGCAAGAGTGACAAGTGAGAAGCCACTTTGGCCTGGCTGCTGGAGGACTGGACTCAAGACAGAGCTAAAGTGTGTTGCTGAGATTTAATCTGCAGTGCTTCATAGAGGCACCTGGGGCTGTGGGCTTTGCCCTTATCACTTCAAAGAAGCACTGTAATGTCACTGAGAAGTTAATTGAGATGAGGAATTTCCCTGTAGTATGGCAAATATCTCCAACAGCCAGCTAGCAAATGATGAAAAGATGATTCCATAAATTTTGAATTTTTCGAAGTTACAGGTAATGAACTGAAACTAGAGATTATAGAGTTGTTGGGTAGCCAATATAATGATTTCTGTATGTCTGCATTGAGTTGTTTTGGTAACCTTTTTCAAGAGTTTCTGACATTGACTCCAGGTTTCTCTTTTCTCAATTTGTCTTCAAAAGCTGTGCACCATTTCACTGTTGCTTGTATGGATTTCTATGTCTTGGGTGCTCTCCCTTTTAAATTCTCTTTTTCTAACAAGCATGTAAAGATACCTAAAGGAGTCCACTTCAGCTGAAGGAAGGTTTGGCTCTGGATAACACGGAACACAAATACTATAGTGTTGTTGAATAAAGCAATAGACTTGTAAGCTTGATCCTGCAGTGCATCCCACATGAGATGCCACTGGAGTTGGTAGCAGATCTAATAATAAGCTCTTTCTAGTAAGACCCCTGAATGAACTTCATAGTGCCATTGCTGTGGAAGCACTAAGAATGAGAAATGAGAGACAGGAGGCAGGAAACCCGAGAAATGTCACTTCCAGCTCTGCCATTGACTGCCTGTGGGTGATCTGACAGAAGCTACTTAAATTCTCTGCACATGAAACAACTTTTATCTGTTGAGTGGGAACAACACCAATCACAGAAAGTTGATCCAAGATCTAATTCATGAGGAATTGGTGAATTATAATACCTAGAGGCCCTAAATAACAGAAACATTTCCCAGTGTTCCTGTCATGCTCTCCTCAGCTGTTATATATTGAAACAAGCTGACATGTTAGTGATCTTGCTGTACCAACCTTGATTCCCTATTTAGTATTTCTTATTTTGTTCCTCTTCTTTTTGCTGTGATGCCTATGATGATCCTGCAGTTCTGGACCCCTTGTCAGACTTGATAAATAGCTTTCCTCTCTTTTACAGCCAACACCAGCAGAAAACCTATTGATTTTTATTTATTCTGATGGTGTTGCAGTAGTCTTGTCATCTTCTATCAGTATGCCAGGGATTCTTTCCTCCACTAACAAACCATTTAAACAAATCAGAACACAAAAATTAAAGCGAGCACAGTTTAATGTGGCATTGTCCTAAATAACTTGTGAAGTTTGTGTTGAGGCACTTCTTTCAAACAAAGAGAGACAGAAAGCAGAGCTTGTAATAACATGGCAGAACAGTGCAGAAAAATCCTCTGGTGTCACTCTCAGGCATGTAGATCTTTCATGTCCCACTAGGACACAAGATCTGACAGTCCAGCCATTAAGGTTTCCTTGATTTGCTGTTAGTCTGTGCACATTGGTCAAAGGCATTTTGGGAGTTTCCAGCAGTCTCTAGAAACTGCTGCTGTTGCTGGACAAAGCAAGTGTGCTCACATAAGGCAAAGCAAATCACTAATGTGAAAACTGGTACATGAAATGTGCATAAACTTGAGACTCAGGACAATATCTTGTTGAGTTGCATGTTGGTAAGTTGTGCCCAGGAATAGCACAGCTGCACTCTCAGGTGGTGGAAACAAATCCTCTCACAAAACATCTTTTTATCACTCTGCTCTTTTCCTGGTTTTATTCAGGGCCTTGAAATTTGGAAGAGAAGCAATTCTTGTGTTAGGGGTATATTCTTTCTCCTCTCCCTCTTTTCTATTTTATAACATTTGTGGGACAAGAGGTCCAACACAACTTCTGCTTGCTGTCTGTAAACAGTAAAGTCTCCAGTGTGTCTGCCTACAGTGAATATGATCCAGCCTTCTAGTTTTTAGTTTGGATGCTAATAACAAGGGGAATAATAATACTGATGAATACTGAGGGCCACATCTAACTGGAGGAATGTGACTCTGATGCTTTTGAATAGTGCAAAGATCTACATGCACTGTGCATATGCAGAAGCAGAAGCTAATTGTTCTTATGTGCCAAATAGCATATTGGCAGGATTTATACAGCAAAGCCCTTGGCATCATGAAAACCCTAACCCCAAATGCTCTTCTTTGGCAGAAAGAAAGAAATTTGGACTTTGGGCTACTCTTGCTATTAGATAACTGTCAGATCAAATATTTACAGGGACCATATTGTTTAGATTTTTCTTCATCCTGTTACTCTCAGCCAATCTGAACACAAAGCATCTGGGGTTTATTTACCCATCAGGAACTGAATCTCAGGCAGGTTATGCAGGTTTTATGTTCTGACTGGCAAATCAGAATGTATGGGAAGTAACTGATACCCAAGGCAGTGTAGATCAACATGTCAAGTTTCTATGCTTGGTATAGTTCACCTACCCTGACACTATTTTTTTTGACAATTGGACAAAGATTTTGAGGTGTTACGAGACTTGAGAATGTTTCAGTCTGTGGTTTTTCTAGTTTGCAATCTTGCACTAATTTATGTCCCCTGAGGAAATAAAAAACCCAAACCCAACCTAGGATTCCAGAGTAGATATCCCCTGTAGCTTTCATATACAAATAATTGTCTTACTGACGTGACTCTGTTACTATCATGCTAACAGTAGATCAAATCCATGTGCCTGCCTCCCTGTTTTCCTGGTTAGATTTACTAATAAAAATACCTTATGGCTAGGAATGAATTGCAACAGTATTTCTAAAGGCTGGTGGAATGTGCAAAGAGCAGAGGTGCTCTGGGATGCCCTGGCCAGACTTACGTGCCCCTGATGTCTCTGCCAGCTGTTGAAAAGTGATAGCAACCAGCTGGCTGCTTATAGATCTGGTGATGTGATGAAGAATAAAAGAGAAAATAAGGCAATAAAAGGAAAATCTGAAATGATCACCATCTGTTTCAGAAACATCATACCTGTTAAAAAACTGATTTTAATTTTGTTCTCCTTGGCTGGTTCGGTTCATTGGGGGAGCCTGGACCCAGAGATTATAAAATATTTCACCTTGGTTCAATCTGTTGAATAGAGATGTATTAATTTGGTTGAAGCTTCTTTGGAGAAGAAGCTTGCTGCAGGGGACCTTCTTTAGAAAGCCAAAAGATGAAAAAGGCTGCCACATAACTGTGGTGTGCACCTCCCAGAAGTGTAACAACTACTTTTACCAAACACTAATTTGGCACCAGAGTTGCCTTGTGAGACTGTGGCAAAGCCCAGATCGACCTGACTTTTCAATGTAATTTCTCTCATATAGGCACGAGACCTCAAGAGCAGCTAGACACATTCTTGAGTCAGACTTGTGCCTTTGGAAAACATATTGGATGCTCCCGCGTTGGCCTTTTGACTGTGTGTAGTCTTGCCCATGTGTTAAGATGGCAGTGTGCCTGTGCACAAAGTGTTATGCCAGTTTCACAGAGGTAGAAGTGCCAAGCAAAATGGACTTGGCTGGGCAGGCTGCATAGCTCTCAGAGTGTGCTGCGAGGCTGCAGTAAGTCTTTTTTGGTAACAAGAATGTCAGAGGAGTAGGATAAGTCTGTTCTCATGTTTGTTGACATCCGTATGCTGAAGGAGGTAGTTCAGGAAGGAAAGTGTGTACACTGCTGATGCTTGACATAGTTGTTGAGGCAAGACCCTGGTATTAAGATGTAGGCTGCTCTTGGTAGTCTGTATGGGAAAGAGCTTTTGGTTCATGGCTGGATTGCTGCTACTCCCTTCCTCTGTCCCCCCATTTGGTACATTTAGGGAAGTGTCTGATTCCTCAGGAAGCTAAAGAGACAGAAAGTGAGACTCTAATGAGACCTTGATGTTTGCCTGTGCTATGGTTTCCATGAAGCCCTAAAGAAGAGACTATTGCACCGGTGGCTACAGCCAAGCTGTGGTTAAGTCTACCTGACCATCATGTGTCAGTGACTGGAAAGAATCCTTAGATTAATAAATTCACACAAATGTCCATTTAATGGCATCATCACTTGAGAAAAGCCTTTCCTCATGTACCAATAGCAGTTTGCCCTCAGCAGCTTGTAGTGGTATCCCAGATCATTTTCCAGTTAAGTTTTAAGTCCCTCAAACTGAGAGATGGCAGGATAGAACTGACGCCAATGTCTTTACAGGACTTTGGAAAGCATTATTCCTTCTGCCCTGGAACACACGTAACCTTAATATGTTGTAGTGCAAATGAAGATCATGATAAATCATTGTTTGTAACTATTAAACAGAGAGGGAGATATATTTGCCTGATAGGTCTCTGTGTATGTAGCATTGTTGGTCAGGTAGGTGACACAGCCTCTTGCATTTAGGCCCAGAGCTGGAGAAGGGCATCCCTGTAATGTGTAGGTTTATTTTGAGCAGAAAGTGACAATATTTCATCTTACCTGTACATAAGTGCCTAAAAAACTTGCAGAGGAAACAGAGAACTCTATCCCATTTATTGGATAAAAAATATTTTAAAATTATTATTTCTGTTTGGTGTTTTTTTCTTAACATTTTAATGTTTTTTCACAATTCAATATGTTCCTTTCCAGATGACACCGCTGATAAACCAGGCCTGTGACATCCTGCTGTGTAACTTGAAAGTCTATGCAGATTCCGGCAAAGCTTTTGATATCCAGAGGTATGTTAAACATGCCAAAAATTAGTAGCAAATTATAAAAAACCAAGAAAAAATGTCAATAGCAGCAGTTATTCTAAATTCACACTTACTGTAGAAAAGATTTTTTTTTCTTCCCTTACTTTGAAAAATGGAAATCATAGTTTAATGGAGGGTGTGTCTGGTAAAAGCCTTTTCTTCCTGGGACAGCCATTGCATACTTGAAAAGTAATTTTGGTAAAGCATCTAATGTATTTCTGGCAGTTATTTAATGAAGTTTTAACAGCTGGAAGGACAAAGGAACCTGCATCAGTCCCTGTCCAGTCTGTTCTCTGCAGGCTGCCAATAATGTACAAACATAAGAATTGGTCTAGTATCAAATATATCTAGTCCATCACTCTTTTGCTTTTTTTTATATGAGGCTTTTTTGAGCAGTTAATTATTCTTACCACATTCTTCATAACCCCCTCTCATGGCATGCTAGCTTGGGGAAGCAACAGGATCGCTACTCCAGATGAAAATGCACCATTGATTTATCAAATTACATTTTAATATTTTCATATTGTACTTTCTCTCATTTGTTATGCATTTAATATCCTATTATCTTTTCTGTTGCTCTTTCATCAGAGGTCTTCACTGAACTGTTCACAACACTGTCTAGTCCTTTCTCTGAGTAGCTGCATTTCCTCTAAGGTCCTGGATAGTAGTTCAAATACATTCTTTCTAACAGGCACTATTTTTGCTTCATTTTGCTTTCATTTTGTTTGCTGGGTTGGTCAGTGCCCTCTGAAGTTTTTCATGATTTTCCCAAACTGAAGCAGCACAAATAATATTGTTTCATCAGAAGAAATGCATATTTAGCCACAATTTATTAATTTTTTTTTCACGTACATGTGCATGTGCATGTGTGCACAGAGATCTCTTCAGCTGAAGAGATACTATGAAACCTCAAGATATATTGTACTAGCTTAGTGCTGTGATGAAAATTGACCTTTTCAGTCCTTTCAGTCTTTTCCATTTTTCCATTTGTCCTTTGTCTTTGAGTGGTCTTTTAGCTATTGATCCATTATAGGGTTTCACCTCTCAAGAGACACTTTGGAAAAGACCCTTTGAATGTATAAATGAATGATGTTGATCGTCTGGGAACATGATATTTCCAGTTGTTTTACCATACTACCATTTCAGCAGGTTTGATGTATTTATAAATGTGATTCTCATTCCACTGCAGTTTTATAGAATTGCCTTGGGAGCTGTTTTTTTGGATGAAAAGACCTATCTGTAAACTCCTATGACCTTAGTTGTCTTTAGCTGTTTTGTGTTTTGCCAACAACTCAAAATTTAGTTTTTAATGTTCTTTTTCAGTACCTTGGAGAGGTAGATGATTGAGTCCTTCTGAAATTATTGTTTCATAGCATTGCCCCCCCCCTTAACATTTTAACTTCCAATGGTGCTTTTTGTGTGTGTGTGTAAGAGTTGAAGACCAAAAGAAGTGTGTTGCATTATTTTTGTTATCAGTTTTATTCTCTGGTGTGTTCAGAATGGCAGTTCACAAAGATTGTAGTTTAGAAATACTGATTCACATAATATATGCAGGATATAATGGGCCTGACTCCTGTTGTTCTCTTCATACATGCTCACTCAGATTAAAACACCAGAGACTGATATTAGCCTTTTGTAAGGCTCATGGAAGTACACACATTGCTTACTTCACCATGGATCAGAGGAATCAAATTCTAAGGATATTTTACATTCTCAGTCCACTTACCTTAAAATTTAATAGAGCTGCTAAAGCCCACTAGGAAAATAAAGATGGTAAGACAAATGGATAGATGGTGAGATATTCAGGGAGCCATTTAGTAAGTTCTGCATTTTCTATATCATGGTTCACAGATCAGTTGGAGTTCTCAGAGCACTGGCGGCTCCTCTGCAGATTTCACTTGGCATCAGTTTCTCTTGATTTTATCCACAGAGTTACATTACAAAGGAGGTATGAAGAAGAAAAAGAAAGAAATCCTTCAGGACCTTAATTTTACCTAAGAACCTCTTGTCTCTGAGCGTTCAGACTGGACTGGAAATAGGTGTGGTTTTTGCAGTTAAAAATGAGGAAGGAATGGTCTCATTTATTAGGATGCATACTAAGAAAATGCTTATGCATCTCTGATGTGTTGCATTCAATTTCTATGTCAAAACAAATTAAATTGGTTTTAATAAAATTTTCGTGGAATTACTGAGGTGTATGAAAATATGTTCACTTTGTAGGTTTGGAGAAAGTGATCATTATCAAGTATCACCATTTGTCAGAATGATGGAAACATCTCTTGTTGGCAAAGCTCAAATCTAAAAGCAAAAGGAAACTCAGTGGCAAAAACTAATGCTATGTGATGTTTGTAGAAGCAAGATTAATGGGTATGGCTAGATTGTAGATATTTGTAGATAATAATTTATCATTCTTCAATTAAATGCAGGTGTTACAACTGCTTTACCTTGGATGTCGTTGGTAGCGTAGCATTTGGTACTGAGGTGGATTCTCAGAAGAATCCTGATGACCCCTTTGTTAAGAATTGCAGAACATTCTTTGAAATGTCTTTGTTTAAGCCTCTTCTCATTCTAATCCGTGAGTATAGTCTATGTTTGTCTACTTTCTTGTGATAATTTCATAAAAGTCATTGTCGAATTGCAAAATATGCTGAAGCCAGGGTAGGAAATATTATAGCTGACATTATTTCAGAGGGATTCAGAATGCAACCCACAGGCCACTTCTACCCTTGAGATTTCCACCACTTGCTCTACAGGTCTTGTCATCATTAATGAAATTTACTCCAGAAACTGAGAGTTCAGGAACACAATGCTCCTGGTTCATCTGACAGGAAAGTTTCTGTGTCCTGCAGTTTCTATAATACTTTTTTTAGCATGCTTCTCACGAAAACAGAGTAATTGCTCTTTGGGACTGAATGTAAAGTTTTTGTGCACTTGGTTTGTTTAGTAGAGATTGAAATCTCACTCATTAACAATCCACTAAAGAAAAAAGGTGGAAGAGTAGAAACAGATTGTGTAAGTACTCCCAATTCTTTTTTGAACACTGTCCACAGCCTGCTTGATGGCTCTGAAGGATAAAGAACACAAGTGTCCTGAAGAGAATGCATTTATTTTAGATTAATAGATAGGCAATGCAAGAATGGGCTTTAAAACCATGTAGTTCTAAGGCATGAAAGCTTAGGCTTCATGGTGGTGATGATCTTGATAATTCAAGGGCAGTAAGAATCACAGCTGAGGAAGCCACAGCATAATCAAGGCTTTTGAGGTTTTATCATCTTGTTATCTAGACCTGCAAACAGTAGTATCAGGTGGCACAGTGGCAAAGTTTCCTGTGCCCATCTGATCTTGCTGGCATTACAGATTGCACCTGTACTCACAGCACAACAACTGTTTCCTTCTGGAATTGTGTATCCAAATTGCCCTGGAGTTAACATTTAACCTGATTGCAAAATGTGATTTGTAACCAAATTCTTAAGGGACAGAAATGTGCCCCTATACATCTAAGAGCAAAGTGTCCTTCATGAAAGAAAAGTTTCTGTAGTGTTTGGAGTTGGATTCCTTGATTCATCTCTTTCTGCTCATTTGAAGACCATCTTTGTGATAATATCCCACTTCCTGAATGTGTGGCCTGTTTAGAGAAGCATAATCACACAGTATTCTATGTTGGAAGCGACCTTAAAAAGTCATCTAGTCCAATCCTCTGCAATAAGCAGGGATGTCTTCAACCAGGTCAGTTTGCTCCTCCGTCCTGACCTTGAATGTTCCCGGGGCTGGGGCATCCACCACCTCCCTGGGTAACCTGTGCCCCTGTTTTACAAGCTTCATTGTAAAGAACTTCTTCCTTATATCTAATCTGAATTGGCTCTCTTTTAGTTTAAACCCCATAGTCTTTGTCCTGCTGCAAGGGGCCCTGCTAAAGAGCCCCATCCTTCATCTAAGTCCCTAATACTGTAGAGTATTGGGGGCCTATATGAATTCCTGCTCATTCCTGTCAAACAGGAATGAAAACTACCCAGTTTTACGTGGGGGTGCCATAAGCTGCTAGGCCAGTTCAAGATTTTCAACTTTCCCTTTGTAATTTTCTGAGCAGGTAGGAGAAATAATGATCCCCTTTGTTGTGGTAGCTCTGTGACACCAAAAATCTGAACCAAAATCCTGAGACATTGTGGAAACAAGCTTGGAAGGCATCTGTCTGGAAAGGGAGTCATGGCCAGCAGGACATCTCCAAAAGGGAATCCTCTTTCTCTTCCATCCTCACAGATTGCTAGAGAGAGAGAGAGGAAAAATAAGTTTTCATAAAAGGAACACATCCCAGTTGATAAGTTTTATAATATTAAGGTAGAGCAAGGGGGAGGATTATATGCCCTCACAGTCTGATTCAATATTTTCTTCTTTAAAATCTCTTACAGTTTCTTTCCCATCCATAATGATCCCATTGCTACGCATTTTTCCCAATAAGAAACAAAAGGAACTGAATGGATTTTTTATCCAAACCATAAAAAATGCAATTGTCTATAGACACCAACAGGATGCAGCTCAGGTAAGACTATTTCTGTGATAAATATATGGATAAGTAAATGTTTTCAGAAAAAACTGGAAGTGGCATAAACCTCTTTGAAAAACAAACTCAATCTCTTTCAACATTCCAAGTGTTTTAGTGAAGATTTGATTGTTTTTTAGCTTTATGTACCATCAGGCAGAATTGTTAACACATTCCAATATTGCTTCTCTTAGTATTTCTCTTCAAGTAAGAATGCAGAAAAGTTACATCTGCGATGATTTCTCAGCCTAGTTTCTAGACTCAGAAGGAAGGATTCAGCCTGTGGGATTTTTTCTTGTCCTAAAGTCATGTGTCATGTGTACACTACTTTTCCTCAAGGACCAGAGGGAAAAAAAAGCCCGCACTGAGTGTTTCAACCCAATCTCTCCCTAAGAGCTGAAGAGGGTTTCACAGAGTCCTGTGCCAGTTCCTGCTGCTTTGGAACATGGGAAGAATCTGAATGTCTGGTTAGAGCAGTCACTGAGCTGAGATGGCTAAATAGAAAGGCAATAAATACCACCTGAAGTGTACAAACAAATGGCTCCCCATTGTTAGGAAATCATTTGTTACTTCTTTTTTTTCGAACATAAGGCACTCTGAGGAGATTTTCTGTGTTTGTTTTTAGTCACTCTTCTTTTATGAAGTATGTGAAGGCACATACTCTTTAATCAAAGTCTCTCTATTGTTAGTATATGAAGCATTTGGAACATAGGCCTGTGCTTCACTTCTGTGATACAAAAGCTTGTTTTGGACAAAAGAAGAACAAGCATGAAAATAAATTAAATCCCAAGATTTCTTTTAATTTCATTTTATTTTTCCTTTCTTTTCCTTTTTCTCCATTAAGTTTAATTTCATTTCATTTCTTGACTTGTCATTTCATTCCTTTCAAGAAATGAAATCCCAATATGTCATTTAATTTTGTTGCATTTCATATAATTTCAGTTTTTAAATTTCATTTAATTTCATTTTTTGATTTGGCATGTCATTTCCTTTCACAAAATGAAAACTCATTTTGGGAAAGGAAAGGAAAAGAAATCTCAAGATTTCATGTAATTCCATTTTGGTATGTTTCCTTTAATTTCTTTTAATTTAATTTAATTTCATTTCAATACATTTCATTGAATTTAATTTAATTTCATTCCTTGACTTTTCATTTAATTTTCATTCCTGACATGAAATCCCAAGATTTCATTTAATTTCTTTATTTCATTTAATTTATTTTTATTTTTAGTTTGGTTTTCTTTATAAATTTCATTTCCCTTTATCCCATGATATTTAATTTAATTATTTGATTTTTCATTTTATTTCATGAAGTGAATTTTCATTTCATTAAAGGATATGAAATATCAAGATTTCATTTCTTGAGGTTTCCTTTCATTTCTTTTCATATTTTTTCACTTAATTTTTTTTGCATTCCACTTTTATTTCCTTTTATTGCATGAAGTTGGATTTCTTTTCATGGAGGAATATGGATGTGTTGTGAGAAACAAAGTATATGGGTGAGAATTCCATTTTTGAGGTAACTGAAACAAATTTTTGCATAACAATTGGCATGAAACACACAGCATCCACATGAAGGAAGCTGTTAATACTGAGGTGTAAGAGATGCTTCTTACCCCTCTGAGATGAAGAGTAATGCTGATGGAGTAACAGCACAGGTGAGAAAGGATCTTGCCAAATTATTCTCACAGCTTCACCCCACAGCTGCCACTTTTCAGGATAAAATTTATTTTGCGTTACCCTACCTTATATCCAGGACACATTTAAAAATTAAATTTATGTTCAAATACATTGCTGCTCTTTGGCTTTTTCTGCAGTGATGTCTCCCTTCTACATTTGTTGCTGTTTATCACTACATGCTGCTTATTGTTCCTTCAGCCCACCTTCGTCAGTCTTTGTTTTTCTTTTCATCTGAAGGATGGTAAGCACCACTGACTGGCCACAAAAAACTTATGATTCATAAACAAGGTTCCTGGTCCAGGCTGACTGCTGCAGGAATATTTTCTGGCAGTGATGATGCGTTTAAACTGCTTGCAGGCACCTCATTTCTACTGCATAGGTCCAGTGTGAACTTTTAATGGCCTACAGATGTGGCTGTAGGTATGGACAGTTTTAAATCAAAGATTCATGCCAAAGGGATCTGCATGGAAAGTCTATTCTGTGTATGAATTATGAAAGCTTAAAAGGGACAATGAAACAACCTAATGTGGATTAAAAGTGATTGCTGTATTAACTGTTATTAATGAAATGCAGTGTGTTTCTGTGGCCCTAGCACTGAGGGGATCAATCATGGGCTAAACCCTTCTCTGTGCTAGACCTAGTCACTCCCTTTAACAAGGGACAGCACAGAAAAAAGCAAAGCTGCAGTGACAAGATCAGGAGGCAGAAATCTGCATAACGCAGCCCGTTTGCAGGTTACAGCAGTTGACCCGAGGCTCTGGGTTCTATGGGAATGGATACTGGGAGGTGCTGTAAGAGATAGCACATGGCACTGGGTGCCCAACACCAGGACAAGGTGGGGGAAGGTGCAAGGTCCGTGTTTGCCTTAGCAGTGTGTGCACAGCTCCATGGCTGGCTGCGGAGCCGTCTGCTCCTGGACCTTTGCTTAGTTTGCAAAATCGGCATATGGGAGCTATTTCAAGTGCTAGGAGTTAGACTATTAGGGACAGATTTCTCAATGCAAATTAAGTCTCCTTTGCAGTTCAGGATCACTATTGTTCAAAAGTGACTGGAAAGCTTGGAATGTTCTTTTTTTCCCTTTTCACTGCCTGATTTTAGAATTTTTTTCTCCTTTTCACTGCCAAACTTTTAGAATTTTGAATGTTTTAGATTGGTGGCACATGAGTCTTGTAATAAATATAGGCAGCTAATATTTATGCCAGAGACATAACAATGGTGTGTGAAAGAAACAGAAGAAAATGCAACTTTTTTCAGTTTAATGCAGAAATTAAATCTGTAGAGATGAGGTGTCCCAGATAGCCCTGCACGTGAAGGAGTATTACATCCTCTGTCCTAGGTTTCAAATGATGAAATGTACCCACTGAAACCAGTTGGAGTTTTGGCACTGAATTTTAATAAGGCCAAGATATAACTAGCAGCCACTGGTTCTTTGTGCTAATAATGAGAGCTATAAGCAAAGTCTTATGGTCTCCCTGAGGTGCATTAGGCCAATGGGTATTCCTTAGTTTGCCACATTCCTGGATGTTACATTGTGTGCATCTTTTACTCCCCATTGATTTTATCACCATTAAAAATGCTTTGGGGTTCTTTTCTTGAGGAGAGGGGGAAGGGAGGATAAAAAAAGCCATTGGAACAAACTGTAAAACAATGAAAAGCTCTATGACAGTGATTCAGCTGAAACTTGTCTTCCTCTTATCTACAGCTAATGTGAACAAAGAATAAAGAAAGTCCAAAAAACAATGTGACAAGCAAAGTCAGCCTGTTATCATCCCTGTTGTATCAGTAAATGAAACAATGCTTCTGAATGCCTAAACATAATCCCTTGGGTAGATAGTAGTTTTACAGCCAGGTTTAGATCTAATAATACACTTGGAGCTTATATGAGATCTGTGATGTCACTTTCATCCCCTCAGTTAGTGGTGCAGATGTCATTTTAATTATATATTATCTTTCTGTGGTCACTTCAATACTTCTAATACTGGATATTTCTCTCATTTGGCTTATGTACAAAAACATTTAATGCTTGTACGTTAGAAATTTTAATACATTACATTTATTCATGGATTCAAATTATTGTAAAATACTTTCCCCACTATTTACAGAAGAGCAAATTTACCCAGCTCAGAAGAAACAGCACAAATTTAATGCACCACTTAACACCTACTTTAAAGAATCCAGCAAGATTTAAATGTTCAGATACCTTACCCTGATTATCTACACAAGTTTAAGTTTTTCCCTGAGGCAAAATATTTCCAGAGACAGGGCAGATAGACTATTTGTTTACTTCAATAGATGATACTTTGATAGATTTTAATTTAATAATCTGATATGCAGATTGGTTTTGTGTTAGAGTTATTTTTATATCCTTAACCTACTGGTTTCTTTTAAATTATGATATCTAGATGAAGGAGTCTTAACATAGTGCTCAAAACTGAGACTCTTTTTGAAAACTGTGGGTTGAAAATAAGCCCCCTGTCAGCAGATGAAAGTCCAGAGTTTCGTTTGTATTCTGAAGTAATAACAACAACTGTATTGTAACAATTTAAGGCTATTGATTATTTTTGGAAAAGCACAACAGATGTGTGGGAAAATACACTATTGAAAATAAGCATTCTTTTACATGGAGAATTGGAAAATTCAGAGAGGCTTCAACAAATTCTTCTGATATTTCCTGATTTTTCCAGCCATACTGTCTGCTGTGAATGCATAATTCAAGGTCACATAATCCATGCCAGTAGTGATCTGATGATGTTTCTGATGACCATCAGCTACTTCTTGGTATTCTCAAGAGAATTTGGAATGACAATTGGTGGGCAAAGTACAGGGAAGTATCACTAGAACTATTCACTGGCATCTCAGTTTGCCTTTCAGTCAGTCTGGCTGGAGACTTACAGACTACTTGAGTGCTTTTAATGCAAACACAGAGCAGACAGAAGGGACAACATGAGAAGAGTGTGAAGGCTGTGCTGCTGGGAACCCTGCTTCCCTTTGAGCGCTGTGATGTAAAGCCACACAGAAACTGTACAGTGGTGTCAGTGCTGGTGATGATTTAGCCTCCTTTGAATTGGTTTGGCTCTGGGATGCTCTGTAGTCTGCTGTGCCCAGTATAGATCAGAAGAGGTTGTCCTCTGGTCAACAATTGCAACCTCCTCCAGTTTTCCTTGCTTCCATCCTCATTCCTGGCCAGTTATCATCCCTGATCACCAGTAGCTACAGTCAGTGGCTCTGCTTTTCCCAGGCTGCCCATACACCTGGGCAAGCATGAGAGATTCCCAGTGTGTGGAAAAAAAATGCTGAAAATCCTTTGGTTTTTCAGCGTC